AGTCCATCACAGGGACACCTGGACAGGTCTCCAGTCCATCAGAGACAACTGGACAGGTCTCCAGTCCATCACAGGGACACCTGGACAGGTCTCCAGTCCATCAGAGACACCTGGACAGGTCTCCAGTCCATCACAACTGATGTTGAAACTAACTGCATCTTTTGCTATGGCGAGCTGGAAAATGTTCTTTGTCTCGTTTGTATTTGTTCCGTGAAGTTATGAAATACTACAGAGAACGTCATCTTTAACTATTAAACATTAATTTCACTAAAATTTCAAATGGCTTTTACATCTTTACGTGCATTCAATGTGTTTAATAAAGTTGTCCAAAAAAACAGAAAACCCTCCAAACTGCTGTACGCATGCGCAGATCCTGACTCCGCCCCTGACTCCGCCCCTGGCTCCCAGCTTCCCCTGCCGCGCATCTACGGACAAGAATGGCGGCTCTTTTGGAATGTGTTCTGTCGCGGAAAGTGGACATTACCAAGGTCGTAGGCTGGTTGAAGAATGTTGAGGTGAGTGTGAAACAGTTGTAAATAGTAGCGGAGCCACATTTCCTCCATGCAGGCGCTCTTCTGTCGTGTTTCACGAGGTGACATCGCAGAAGTGATTGTAAACAAAACTTGTCCGCGTTAGCTAACGAGAGACATTTAGCTGCAGTCCAGCAGAACTGCAGCTAAATGTCTCCCGTTAGCTAACGGGAGACATTTAGCTGCAGTTCTGCTGCCATGTCCGCTGCTTTTCAACTGCAAGGGTTGCTTTTATGTTTATGTTTATTGCCGAATATCTCGTACTTCGTACTGTTCTTTAACATTAATTACAGCTGCATGCGCTGATGTTAGCTGGGTTGTAGCAGCTAGTAGCTGAGCTGAGCTCATGATCTTTGTTACTCGTGTCCTTCTGTCTCCCGTGGATTAAACAGATAATTAATATGAGTCACTTGTGTTTTTTAAATTATTCATCTGTCATTATTAACAGTTGTTTCTCTCTTCCAAAGGAGAGCGACAGTGACTCGGAGTTCCCTGTGCACAGACGTGAATTTGTTCCTTTCCTTTTAAATTTTCTGAGGGAGCAGAGCAGTCACGCGCTTCCACACGGGCCTGCCACCCCAGCTAAGACCCCCAGTCATCCCAGACCCGCTGCTCGGGGTCCAGGTGGTTTCTCGGCGAAGATGACGTGCAGACCTGCAGGCAGTGCCAGCCGTGTGCAGCTGTTTTCTCCTGCCTCGTCTCCGTCACCTGCAAATGAGTTGGATGCTGCTGGTCGCTCAGGTCTGAGCGGGGTGGGTGCCTTCAGCAGCCCCTCCTTCTCTACGGCGTGGAGTCCTGCCTCCAGGCCGTCGGGCTCTGACCGCCGACACAGCCACAAGGTCTATCTTGGAGACTACATGGTATCTCCTCCAGATGTGCAGCACAGCCCCACTTTCCAGTCGCACAAGGGGCGCAAGAAGAGTGGCGGCAGCTCAGCCGTGGGGGGACAAATCCGACGTGGAGGAGGACGTGGAGACTCTAGCAGTGAGGATACTGGGCGATGGGATTCTGGAGGGAAGAGGTCAGGCAGAGGAGGAGGGTATAACAGGACAAGTGAGCAGCTTTCCCCTCCATCTTTAGGTCAGCTCAATTTCAGCAACATGGAGGACTTTCCTCCTGTTGGATCCTCACCTGTTTCCTCTGCGTGAGTCCACACCACTCTCATAAACTACTAATTTAGTTGTTTATTAAAAAAATACTGACAACATTTTTGATCTTCCAGGATATCCAAGCCATCAAGAAGAATAAACCCAACACCGGTCAGTGGGGATCGGCCACACTCCAAACCAAAGACATGTTTCACGTCCACCCCGTTCCACAAGACTTCAAGCCCTGCGTCAAGAGCAGAGACACCGGATGGACTGGTGACTGCAGGGAGTCACATGAGCCTTAAAGAAGAAAGGGAATTACTTAAAAAAGAGAAGTAAGGAGCAGACATGCTTATGTATTCTCATTATTCAGGCTCAAACCACAAATTGCTTGTGACTTTTTAAGATTGTATTTTGTTTGCCAGTGGCCTTGCTTTCCTGGTCTTTGCACTTGTAACGGCATGTGAAGTTGTTGCACTGTGCTTGTGGGTCTCTCCTGCTTCATGGTGTCAAATCTCTCATTTCTAGAACAAAGCGAGCCCAGAACGTCACCTCTCCTTTGCCGTCTGCTTTGGATCCCTGCACCCCCACCAAAACAGGAGGCAGAACAGGCTCTAACGTTGCACCAGACATGCAAACAACTTCTCCTGAACTATCCAAAGTCACATTCTTGTCAGAACTGGAGCTTTTAGTGGAAGTGTACAGTACGTGCATTTCTGGTAAGTGGTCACGAGGTGGTGTAATGACTAGTGGTACATATTTACAGACGGCTGAGTTTGACTAAAGAAATGTAATATAATTTATAATAAGTATTGTAAATCTGTCAAGTAAATCTATTTTCAGTGTACCGGTCACAAAAAAACGTCACTGTAAACACAAAAGGCTTTCCAAGGCCCTAAACGTCCTCATGAGTTCTGTTAAATCCTTCATGAAGAAATGAAAGGAATATGGGACGTGTGTGGACGTTATCAGGAGCAGGCCGTCCTGCAGGAATAAGACCAGTGAGGGGTTCACCACCACACCTTTGAATGTCAAGGGCTTACAAGCTTTAGCCGGAACTGGTTCTTCACCAGTCAAAGCTTTATGGGACAGTGGCAAAGAGAAAATTATTTAGAAAATATTCATAAAAATGTAGACTAGAACAGGATGTGGAATACTCCGTGGTCGAGTGCTTCTCTGCAGCAGCCCTGAAAGGCTTGTAAAGATGGAGGGTGAAGTTAATGCTTCAGAAATGTAAAGAAATACTTGAGAACAAGCTGAGGCTGTCTCCAGAACAACTGTGCACAGTACAGTGAATATGTCAAGCTAACAGTCTGATGCCTGCAAGTAAAACTTATGGAAAGGAAAACTTGAAATGTTAACTCCGTTTCTGTGATTCTGTGTTTTACAGAAAACTTGGTGCCAAATATTTTTTTGGAGCTTTTCTTTGTGATGCAGTTGCTGACTTCTCGGTCGTCTCATGCACACTGTGATGAAGAGGAGGGAGGGTTGTGTGGAGTCAGTTCAGGTGAGTAATCTGCCTTTTGAATGAATGCCTTTTATTGTCACTACCATTATTAGCCTTAAACAAAAATATTTGTTCTTTTTTATTCACAGATGTTCTAGAAAGATGTTACCTGAGACAAACACACAACTGTGTCTTTTTTGCAGTGAAGGTTCTGGAGAATCAGTTTCAGTGAGTACTATTTTTCTTTTGTTCTGTCAGTTCCAAAACTGTCTCCAACCTTACCAGTTATTATTACCCTAACAGCAGATTATTATTGCCCTAACA